GTTGAAGCGTATGGTTGTTACATTATTATTTTAAGTTGTACTGATAGATTCGGTATATACTAAATCTATGGTTGTACCTACATGTCGTAAACATAATTTCAAAAAATTAAGGTATTAATAATATATTTTTTTCATAATACCAAGTGACTTTTTTGTTGCATATACTACCACAAACACAAAAAATGCGTCTACTATTTGATGTCATTTTTTAAACACCAAGCTACCACTTGAAGACTATGATGAATGGAGCAAGAGACGACCCGCGCACATTGCAACGCGAGATTATGCGAACGTGAGTGTCCACACACGGTACGCGGCGGGCGTGCACTCATACACGCCGCGTTGCTACGTTAATGTGGAAATACCATACCAGACTTATAATACTATGATAGTAAGGTCCAGACGACCAAATGGTTTGCATTATGGACGCTGAATTAGGAGTTCTCTGGTTCACCTTGAAGGTAGGGTAATTTAAGAAATAATAATAATAATTCGTTTATTTGCTTAAAACATGGTATAACAGAAGATGTTACAAAAGAGTGCCAGTACAAACATGTTTCGCATATATTAAATAGCATGCAAATGTCTAGTTATATAATGTCGATCAGACTACCACAACTCAATAATACAAAAATGTCACAAACCTGACAAGTTACAAATTAATTTGGTAAAGAATGATAATCTTCAAGATAAAATCTTACATCTCATTTTCTGTCAAATATTTCGTTTAGGTCATAAAAATTATTTTTACTCAACCACTTGTAAAGCTTTGTTTTAAATAAACTGAAGTGTAATAGTTTTATCTCAAGTGGTATTTTATTATATATGTCAACACACATTTTTAAACAACTTTTACTGTATTTAGCAGTCATAGGAATAGTGTCAAATACAAGTCTATTCGCGTTTCTGCTGAGTCTAGTATTCACATCACAGGCTTTCTTAAACAAATATGTATGTGTATTTTCGTACAAAGATACAAATTTCGTATATATACAGGGTGGAAATTTGTAATGCCATTTGGAAGGAAAGTACGTTAAATACTGGAGATATAAATTTTTACTTAAAGGAAACATTCCTTTATTTTTAAAAAGAAATAATATTGCATTCAAAAATTTTCGAAAATTTCTAGCAACTCGCGGGAATCGAACCCGCTTTAATGTGAAAAAAAATGCACCCTGCACTTTTATTGTATCGATCGATAGGGTTAATTATAAGAATAAAATCTGTCTGACATAATTGGTTAATTAAATGAAAAAAAAAAAACCATGAAATCTTAACATATTTAAAAAAAAGAACAAATTTTTTTTAGATTTTCGAAAATTGCTAGCCACACGCGAGAATCGAACCCCCTAAAATCTATAAAAAAATGCGCCCTGTACTTTTATTAAATCAATCGATGGGTGAAAGGGTGAAGGATGAAATCTCTCTTACAAACCATGAAATCCGGAGTTATAAATTCAATGGGTCAAGTTAAATCACTTTTACTCAAAGGTCCATCAGATTACTTGTTAATTATCGTTGACGTCATTTATCCATTAAAATGGCGAAGTACTATTTAGATAAGAAGATTGCAATTTGCACATGTTTGTAATGCAGACTCTTTGGTCAGTAACCATATTAATACTTGGATTGGTACAAACGGCACAATCAGATGGTCTGCGAGATCACCAGATCTCACCCCTTTAGATTTTTTGTGGGGATATGTTAAAAATCAAATTTACCTCAAATTCTATGCGAGTGTAAACGAGTTGAAGGCTGAGGTTCAGAATACGATTTGTAATACAATTCATCACAACACGTTATTAAAAGTTACTCAAAATAAATTCGTTAAAAGATTAAATTTGTGTATCCAAGAAAATGGAGCTTATGTCGAGCAACTAATTAGTTAGATTACCATTTTATTGGGTTTTTTAAAATACGTTAAGATTTCATGGTTTTTTTTTTCATTTAATTAACCAATTATGTGAAAGAGATTTTATTCTAATAATTAACCCTATCGATCGATACAATAAAAGTGCAGGGTGCATTTTTTTTTCAGATTAAAGCGGGTTCTAATCCCGCGAGTTGCTAGAAATTTTCGAAAATCTTTGAATGCAGTTTTATTTCTTTTAAAGAATAAAGGAATGTTTAATTTAAGTAAAAATTTCAATCTCCAGTATTTAGAGTACTTTCTCTCCAGGCGGCATTACAAATTTCCACTCGGAATAATGATGGTAGTGGCAACAGACCAAGGCTCTGAAACAAGCGTCTGCATGTTTCATCCAGGGAAATTCCACAAATTGCTCTAATGGATTTATTTTGTGCTACAAAAGCTCTGTTTCGATCTGTACTATTACCCCATACTATAAAACCGTAACGTAATATGGATTCTATATACGCCCTATATGTGGTTATGACTGCTTACTTATTTGTTATATTTTTCAACTTTTGTAAATTGGTTCTGGTTTGGGTGTTTTGTGTAGTATCTCAGAGTTAATTACCCCTTCAGCCTTTGGTTTGAAACCAGGTAATGGGTGTGAGTCTGGCGCATTATTTAAACAAAATTAATTTACATTAAAAATTGCTGTATCTTAGAAATAATATATTCAAGCTTCATAAACTAACTCCGTAGTCGTATCTCGAGGGCTGGGCTCTATCGTTCCTGCAATCAGGTCCAATAAGCCGATAGAGGCAGAGGTGTGGCCTAAGTGATTACTGCAGGCCTCTTCCTGCGCTCGTTAATGGCCATTAGCTGCATTGTTATTACTTAAGTGTAACTTAAAAAGGTTGAGGAAATTATAGTCAATTTGTAAAAAAGATGGTCGATTTTTTTGCCTTATTAGAAAGCCTTTAAAAGACTCTCTAATAAGGCGCTGAGTAATTATACTACAAATTTACTCTTGAAAAAAATTAACACATTCAACAAGGAAAACTAGAGCAAAACTATTACAGAAATAGTAGATTTCTTACAAGGGCTTATCACGTTGTTCGAGTGTTAAATGGATTATACTATCAAGTTAAATCCTGCTTGCATTTTGACTGTGAGGACATAAAACAATGGCATTTTTTACGATTTCTTTAATGCCATTTCATTTTTTTTTGTAATAATACAAAT